GTTGAAGAGCATATATATGCTGTGCGGACTTTTCTTGACTTTCTCATAGATTTCTAGGCAGGATGAGCAAAGAGGATGGATGTCAAGGGTTGGGCAAGGGCAGGCAGCTGGCACACCCCAAGTCTACGAGCATGAGCTCCAGGGCTGACAACCCTCAGTTAGAACCTGTTTCTGACTCTTAAGCTGTGTGATCTTGGGCAAATGACTCCCCCTCTCTGGATTTGTCTCCTCTATAAAACAGGATCCTAACCATCCTTCTCTCCCATCATCTGTAGAGTATCTACGCATCCACTTGGCACATGGCAGTGGGGGGTTGCTGTGTTTGCTCAGTCCCCCTCCCCCCAGCACTTGGAGCCTCAGATGCAAATTCAAGTGGTGCAGGATCAAGGGCATTTGGATCAGACCTTGCTTGCCTCTGCTGCCTTCCAGCTCTGTGACTTTGAGCAAGTCACATTCCTTCCCAGAGCCTCACTTCCCTGCTATTTTTCGGGAACCGGCAACCACATCAAGCTCCCTAACTTCCAGCAGGCTCTTCTAACTGAAGCACTGTGTAGCTTTGGGCAAGTGAATTCTACTCTCTGAGCCCGAGCCTCATCTGTAAAACGAGGACCGACCACAGGGTTATAGTGTGACATAGGTGAGATGACACAGATAAAGCATGTAGCAGAGACTACACATGGGGGTGGTGCGCGCTCATGTGCGTGTTAAAAAGTGCTCACCACTTGCCAGGTGCAATTCATAACTTTCCAAGTGTTAAAACATTTAAACTTCACAACCCCCTCAAGAGAAAAAGATGGTCATTATACCTACTTTACAGATTGGCAAATAGGTCATTAGCCCCACGGTGACATAGGTAGGGAGCTACAGAGCTGGGATTCAAACTCAGGCGGTCTGGTCCCAAAGACTGTGCTCCTAACCCCTAGGCTCTCCTGCCTCCCTGCTATTGTGCTGTTATTATTACTATTATTATTATTATTATTAAATCCTTCTTCCCTTCTCTTCCTCCATCAGCTGGTTAGACAAGGCAAAGTTCATTCTAGGTAGGAATGGCTTCAGGGGCAGGGGGACGGAGAAAATTAGGAAGAGTGCTCTCTAGTCTAGGAAAAGTTAGGGATGAGCCAGCAAGCCATGACCTTCCACTACTGGGGAACACGCTTTAGGCCTCTGCAGTGGGGGTGCAGAAATGGTGGAGACAGGATCTGAGGAGAGAGGGCGATGGAAACCCCTCCCATGGGCTCCTGCCCCCACTCCTCCCTAACCGCTAGCCAGGCTAGCCCGGCCCCCACAAAGCAGCCCTATCTCGACCCAGGCCTTATTCAGCAAACCCCAAAGGAAGGGTGGCGCAGGGGCATGGAAGGAGGTGGGGGGCAGAGAGGGAGGGGGAGAGAAAGGAGGGGCAGGACCCGTCAGAAGGAGGGATGGAGACGGGAGAGACTTGGAGACCCGAGGAGCAAGGCGGAGGAGAGCAAGCGAGAAAGAGGGAGGAGACAGCACCGGGGAGAGCGTGCATGGAGATGCAGGAGAGGAAAAGGCAGAGATGGGGCAGGCACACACGGGAGAGACACGGGGTTTGGGGGCCAGATGGAGGCAGCCTGGGAGGGGAGGCGAGGATGGAAGGTGTCAGTGTTAAAGAAAGGTGAAGCGACCAGGGAAGAGGTGAGGCCGAGCTGTGGGTGGGGAGGGGCGTCATCTGGTTGGAGCTGCCACCCAGGCGTAGGGGGACCCACAGGTGCACCACTCAAGACAGAGTGTGCGAACAGGGGCACCCCACCCCACCAAATCTCCACGCCACGCGGGCCACCTGGGTCCCCGCGTGGGCGCCGGGGGGGCGGGCCCAGCGGCAGCCCCGCCCCGCGCAGGGGTGAAGAGGGCGGGAGGCGCCGCCGCCGCGAGGGCGGGGACTCGACCTGCCCCGTCTCGCCCCAGGCTCCGCGCGCGATCCCCGCCCCCCGGGCACGGGAAGGAAAGGGAAGGGAGGACGAGGCGGCCGGACGCGGGGGTTTCCCCGGCCTCCCGGAGAGGAACTGGGAATCTGGGGTCCAGGCTCTCCCCGTTCAGCTGTGCGGGGTCCTCCTCCCCCCCCCGCCTTCCGGGACGGCAGGCTCCACCCTCCGCGCGTGGCACCCACGTGGGGCTCCCTCACCCCGACCCAGTCGGTTTTCTCACCCCGATCTTGCAGAGTCGCACTCACCCACTTCTCCCCCGAGGGCTCGAGTCCTCACTCAGCCCACTTCCTCCCCTCCCGCGGCGTGGGGGGCTCGCTGCTCCCGGCACGGCGCTATTTATGTCTCCTTGCACCCCCTCGCCATCCCACTTTCCCCTGTTTGTCTCCCACTCTCTAAACCCCTTCCCACCGCCCAAGTGTCCTGGGGGCTCGCTCGGCTCACGTCCCTATGCCAAATACTCGGGGCACCTGGCGCGCATCCCGGGGGGGCTCCGCTGCCCCCCCGCTGGGACTCCCCCCACCCCACGACCTCGGGCCCCCTTCTTCCCCGCACTCAGCAGCCCCCTCGCCGCGTCTCTGTGGGCCCTCCCCAGCCCCGCGTGTTCCCCGCGCCCGCTGCGAGTGGGGCCGCTCTTCACTTCCCCGGCACCTCGGGGCTTCGCTTCACCTAGTTTTTCTGTCCTTGAATTTTCTCGCCTCGTGACCCCTGGGCCCTGGGTCAGCTTTCCCCTCCTGACTCTCCTTTCCTTTCTCAAATGCTGGGGACTTCGCTTCTCCCAAAGCGGGCTCCCTCTCAGCAGCCCTCACCCCAGGACCCCCACCCTCTAGTGCCCCGTGGCGAGGGAAGCCCTTCTATCCTTCCACACCCCCCCCAAACTGCTTCTCTCCCTCTAGGGGGCTGCCCCACGAGCCCGCGTGTTCTCACGGCCCTCTAGGAGCGGTCCACCAAGCCTCTATCTCCTCCTCTCCGGGCCAGATACCCGGGGGTTAGGGAGCTCAGTCCTGTCCTCTTTGAGACCCCCCTCCCGCGTTCCCGGCAACCCCGGGGGTCCTCTTCCTCTAGCCGGTTTCCTCTGCCAGTAATTTCCTCCCCGTGACCCCTGCGCTCCGGCGCCCCCTGGGGGCTCCCCTCCAGGGTCCCCGGCCCCTCTGAGCTCACTGTTGGTGTTTTCCACCATTAGCACGCGGGTGACCTCCTTGGCGTAGTAGTCCGCCTCGGGCTCGGGCTCCGGCTCGGCGCTCTCCCCCGCCACCCGGTCGCGGGTGCTGTTGTAGAGGGCCAGCACGGCCTCGGGCAGCGGCCCGGGCGGCACCTCCCCCTGGCTCGGGGGGCTGGCGAGCCGCAGCTTGGACAGGATCTGGCCGCGGATGGCCTCGATGCGCTTCCGCTTCACCAGTTCCATGTCGATGGTCTTGCAGGTGGACAGTCCGGCGGCCGGCCGGCCAGGCGTCAGCACTAGTAGCCGCAGCAGCGGCAGCAGCAGCGGCAGCAGCCGCAGCCCGGAGGGCGGCATGGGGGAGGCGGCGCCCCCGGCACTGCCGAGAGCGCGAGCGGGGCTGGGGAGGGAAAAGGGAAGCCCCGCCCCTACAGGGGCTGGGGGGTCTCCCGAAGAAAGGTAGGAGGGTCGGGGTTGGGGGTGGGGTAGTTGAAGCCCTCAGCGAGAACGGAGCGGAGGTGGAGGGGAGGCTCTGATGGGCGGTTTCTCGGTATCCCAAGGAAAAAACCGAGATGGGCGAGATCTGGTACCAGAGGTGGGTGGTCCTGAGCAGGGGGGTTGAGGCAGGTCCGAGAGAGGTCCCGTCTCCCGGATCCCGGAGAAGGGTCCTTGGATGCGCGGGGGCTCCGGAGAGAGGCTGGGGGTGGGGGAGCGGCGTGCAGGGGGGTGCGCCCGAGGTCTGGGGTCAAGTCTTCGCGGGAGTCCGGGTTGGCGGCTCCTGAGGGCTGGTCCGGAATGGGGGCGCCGGGGGGGGGGGGCGCCGTGGAGGGGGCAGGGAGGGAGCAAGCGTCCGAGGCGGCGGTGGGGGCGGTCTGGGGTCCCCAAGTCCTGCCTCCTGGCGGGGCAGCGCCGCGCCAATCGGTCCCCGCGCCTCCGGCTCCCAGCGGCAGCGGAAAAGTCTCAAAACTTTTTTTCCTCTTCTCCCAACCAGCTCGTCCCTCCTCCCGCTCCTCCTCCCCCTCCTCCCCGCAGTGGCGGCGGCGGCGGCGGGGGCGGCGGCGGCTCGTCTCAGACTCTGGGGCCTCGGGCTGCTCCTCGGCGGCTCCTTCCTCCGCTCCCGGCCGAGGCCGGCCCGCGGGCGGCTCCGAGCCGGGGGGTGCCCCGGAGGGGGCGTCCCCCCTGCCCCCTGCCGGGGGCCTCGCTGTCTGGCGGATCCGCGGCGGGAGGAGGGGGTGGGACGGCCCGGGGCGCGAAGGGCGGCGGCGGCGGCGGCGGCGGCGGGGACCGGCTGGGGCGGCGAGGGGTTTTGAAGCCGCCCCGGCCCCACCCAGGAAGCGCGCGGGGCGGGGGCGGCCCCCAGGGGGAGGACATGGGGGGGCCGGGCCACCGTCCTCATCTCGCGTGGGCGGGCTCCGAGGGGGGTCCCTTAAGCCCCGGGGGGAGGGGGCGGGCACCCCGGCTCCGCCCCGCGAACGGGGTGCTGCCTCCTGGCGGCTGAGCGCGACCCTAGCGGGTCAGCGCGCGGCGTGTGCTCCGAGGGCTGCGCGGGGTCACGGAGAGAAGGAGGACCTGGCGGGCGGGCCCCATCAGAGGTTGGGGACACCGGGCACGGGGGATCCGAGAGCGGGGACCCCAGCGGACAGAGAGTGGGAAGGCTGGGGAAGAGGGTCCGCCGGAAGACGGGGTCCCAGGGGGAGAGGGGCACAGAGGAGAGATCCCCCCAAGGAGACAGGGTTCTAAGTGGGGGAACCCAGAGTGGGGAGGGGGACAGAGACTGAGGTAGAGGGTAGGGGAAGTGGGTGTATCAGAGGTGGGGGTCTGAAGGAGGGTGTCAGTGGGAGGACAGGGCACAAGGCACCTGGCCGGTGTGTCGGAAGTCAGGAGGGCACCCACACCTGTAAGAGCCGCTCTCCTTTATTGAGCATTTGCAGGGCAAACCAGCCTCTTCTCACCTGACCCCCGCCACCCTGCACACTCACTGTCCCCATTTTACAGACAAGGAAACTGGATCTGAGGGGGTGGCCACCGGGCTGGAGGTGCTAGTGGGGACAGAAGCCACTGCCGTACTGGCTGGGGTCAGACCCGACAGTGTCCAGAGCCCCCGCTTCTGACCACGGCAATCCCACCAGCCCCCTCCCAGCAGGTGGGCAGGGGTGTGGACGGGCGCCAGCGCAGGCAGGGTCAGCACTCCACCCCGTAGCGGTCGAAGTGGCGCAGCAGCAGCCCCAGCTCCAGGTGGACCAAGCCTCCGGCCGCCGTGTGCAGCCGGTAGCGGTCGGCGCCGCTGTAGATGGCATCCCCGTGCAGCAGCTGAGGGCCGCCACCCACGAAGGCCCGAGCCAGCTGCTCCCGCCAGCTGCCCAGGGGCCGCCACGTGGGGCAGTCCAGCCGGTGGGTGCCCGGGCTGCTGGGCACGTGGCAAAAGCCGTAGCCCGCCAGCTGGCAGCGGCCGAAGCTGTCCTGCGACCACACCTGGAGATGGAGCCGGGGCCAGCCTGCAGGGTGGGAGGGAAGGAGGAAGGACGGGAGCGATGGAGGCCCCCGGCCCCCTCCCCACTGGGTTTCTGCCCCAGCCTTCTCTCTGGACTCCCATCCATGAGGCAGCCAAAGGGATCTTTCCGAATCTCTGTTCCTCCCCTGCTGAAAACCCTTCCATGGCTCCCCAGTGCCCTCATAGAAAGTCCAACCTCTGGATTTGGCCTCAGCTGACCTCCCTTCTGTGGCCTCCTCTTCCGTGTCCCCCTATCAGGGCAGCGCAGTCCCCAGGTGAGCACTTTGGGCCTAGTCCCAGACACCTCCCCTCCTCCCTCACCATGGCCTACCCTGTGCTCTCTGAGCCCAGGGCCTCCCTTCTTGGCTCTCCAATGCACCTTCCACCTGGCAGCTGGAAGCATCTTTCTCCCACTTCCATAGGTTTATCAGTGTCCTTAGAACACCATTCAGGTCCTCAACCTGGTAGGCTGGAGATCTGGCCCCATTTCACCCTCCTTCCTGTGCCCCTCTGCTCTAGGCCCTATTCTAGAAGCTGGGGACACAGTGGTGAACAGAGCAGACAAAAATTCCTGACATCCTAGACAACGAATGTAGTAAATAAGCAAATTATAGGGTATGTCAGATGGTGATCACCGCTCTGGAGAAAAATAAAGCTGGGTATGGTGGGGGTGGGGATGCAGTTTTAGAAAGTGGGTGAGCAAGGGAAGCTTCACGGAGAAGGTGACATCTGAGCAAATGCTTAAAGGAGGAGAGGGAGCGGGCCATGTGGATGGACATCCAGGGAAGAACGCCCCCGAGGGAGGGAAGAGCTGGTGCAAAGGCCCTGAGATGGGAGCTGCCTGGTGGGGCCAGCTGGCTGGAGCCAACTGAGAGGGAGAGGGAGAGAGAGGAGGTGACAGACCAGATTGTGCAGGGCCTTATGATCAACAAAAAGGCTTTGGCTTTTACCCTGAGTAAGAGAGGGACCATGGAGAGTTCTGCATAAAGAAGGAATGTGCCCCAACTTGGGTGTTCACAGGGGGCAGGGTGGGAGCATGGGTGAGAGGTGAGGGTAGGCAGACCAGGGTGCCCGGGGAGAGATGCGGGGGGGATTTAGGATACATTTCAAAAGTAGAGCCAAAGGGATTTTCTGACGGGCAGAAAGGGGGGGGGGCTGTTGAGGAAAGAGGAGGCAAGGATGGATGGTGCCCACGCTGGAAGACGTGAGGTCTGCAGAGCTGAAGGGCAGCTGCCTGCCTCACAGTCCCAGCTCCTCCTGGCCCTTCTCAGCAAAGCTCATCAAACCTCCCCTCCTCCAGGAAGCTCTCCCGGAACTCCCTGGCAGTCAGGCATCTCCTCTGGACTCCCCTACCCTCTAGGATCCTCCCCTCCTCAATGGGCCCACTCTGGGCCACCCCTGTCTGGGGACAGCTCTGTCTCCCCCAAGGGGATGGTGATCCCCGCGAGGACAGGGCTGTGGGATGAAGGGGGGGCTGTCTCAATCACCAACATTTCCCTGGCATCACCCAACACAGGCTGGGCACCAGGCAGACACTCGGTAAATATTATTTATATTGTTAAAATACATGGCATGTTTACCTAGGCTATTTCCTAGAATCCACTCCTCTCCAGTGATCTAAATTTTCCACGAGGAAAGGTTTTCTGATACCCTTCCTCCCCCGCATAATGTTTCCCCCTGTGAGCAGCTGAGCTGGGCTGCAGGGCTGCAGAACAGCTCGGCTACCAGCCCTGCCTCTCTCCCTCACAACCCCTCCCCGCTTCCTCCTGATTGAAGATTCTTGTTTGTCTCTTTGAAAGCCACCTCCCTTCTCTCCCTGGTCCCCACCTCCCCCTTGCCTCCCTCGCCCCAGAGCCCTGGCCTCTGGCCTATAGTCCTATACCCTCTAGCGCCAGTCTGCAGGCCCCAGCTCAGCCTCTCCCAGGCCAGGCCTGGCCAGGAAAGGGACCCAAGGGCCTAGGGAACAGGGCTGGGACTTGGATGTTCCCAGTCCCAGCGGCTTTGGGCACCACTAGTCATCCCCCCACCCCCTCAGCCTGGCCCAGGGCTTATGCTGGGGACCCACCTTGGAGGCCTTTGGTGGCGAAGTGCAGGTCGATGGGGTGGGACCAGTAGGCCATGTCCCCTACTTGGGGGGTGTCCACCTGTGTCTGGCCCTCCCGCACGCCAGACAGGAGCTTCCACGCTGCCCCTGCAGGGAGGGGTGGGAAGCAGACATCAAGAAGGGGAGGCTACTGCAGCTGGAGGACCCTGTTTCTCCCTGGCAGTGGGGGAGGTCGGGAGTCAGGAGTTACAAAGTGTGGACTCCAGAGTCAGATGTCTGGGTTCAAATCCTGGTCCTACTTCTTTCTGCCTGTGCAACCTTGGGCGAGTTACCTGTCTCTGCCTTGGTCTCCCCTTCTGTAAAATGGGTATAATAACGCATCCCTCATAGTTTTGTGAAAGGATTAAATGAGCCAATACACAGAAAGCCCTCGGAACAGTGTCTGGGGCACAGTGAGTACTGGATAAGCGTTGGACGGCATTTTGTTACTCTTCTCACCCCACGTTAGAGGCCTCGTCCAAGGACTAAGATGGGGCCCAGGGTGGCCTTCAGGAGCTTGAGCACATGGTGAAAGGCACATAGTAATAGCAATCGTCCTGGGGGTGACAATAATAGCAAAAGCCAGACGCTGTGCTAAGCGCTTTAGCCATGAATTCATTTAATCTGCCCTCTGGGGCTCTTAATCCCCACCCCACCCCCCAGTTTAGACTCCCCCCGAGCCCATAAGGCCCTGCTTGGTCTGGCCTCCTGTGCCCCCTTCCTGAACTCATCTCTCACCACTCTCCCCATCCCTCACTACCCTCTAGCCTCACTGGCCTGATTTCTGTTCCTCTTCCTCAGGGCCTTTGCACCACCTCTGGCTTCTGCCCAGAAAGCTCGGCTCCTCGATGTGCCTGGTTTTTTCCCTTCAGGGATTGGCCCAAGTGTGCCACTCTCACAGAGGGCTGCCCCCCCCACCCTCACTGTCAGTGATCCCTGTGCTCATTTCCTTACCTGCTTTTTTAAAAAAATTTTGTCTCCTCTACTGGGAGCCCCAGGAGAGCATGCCTTTTCTACACTGCTGGGTCCCCAGGACCTCAAACTCTGATCTTCGTACACAGAAGGTGCTCAATAAGTGTTTGTTGGACAAATAAGTGCTCCTAGGAGGTGGGTGTTAATAGAATCCCCATTTTACAGGTAAAAAAAAACAGACTCTCAGAAGGAAAGCCACTTGGCCAGTTATTCCATGAACACTTAGTGAACGCCTCTGTGTGCAAGCACGGTCATCCAGGCTGGAGCACAGCAGGAACGCAGCTGCCCAACATCCCGTGGTGGTGCTGGACTCAAACTGTGATCTCGACTGCAGGGTCCAAGCCCTTTATGTGGATGCCCCTGAGCTTGCTGCTGGATTAACTGCCCCCCCCACTAAGAAACCCCCTAAAATAATAAAAATCATGTCAGTTATCCCTCCCTTCTGGGCCAGGAAAGTACCAGGCTCTTCACATATGAGATTTCCCAACACGCCTCTGAAAGACAAAGATTCCCACTTTCCCACTTTACAGATGAGGAAAAATGAGACTCCAAGAGGGGGCAGCACCTGGCCAGGGTCACAGAGCAGGTGAGTGGTGGGGTCCAGACTGGAAACCAAGTCTGACTCCGGAGTCTGCCTCTTATGTGCTGAGCTGCAGGAACCCCCTTTCCCTGGGAATCTCAGCCAACATCCTACCTGCCAGTGAAATTGCAAAGGACCCAGGCCCTCCAGAGAGGATGACGGCAACAGCCACTCATTTCGTGAGCACTTACTCGACACTAGGCAGCATACCCAAGGCTTTACTAACAGAAGCCCATTCGGCTTTTACATAAGCCAGGCAAACACTTAACTGTGCCAGGCCCTCTTCTCAGTGCTCTTGATTTTCATTTAGTCCTCAGGACAACCTCATGATATAAGCACTGTTATTATTCCCATTGTACAGATAAGGAAATCAAGGCAAAGATGAGCGCCCAAGGCCACAAAATTAATACGCAATTTAACATTCAGTCTGCTCTTAACCTCAACACTCTGTTACCTCTTAGCTGCTATTAGCTTCATTTTTAGAGAAGAAAGCAGAGAGGTCAAGGCCAAAGGCCACCAATCAATAAGTGAGGGAGTTAGTATTTGAGTCCAGATCTGGGGGCCCATGGCCCTACTTGTTACACTGGCTACTATACTGCCTCTGATGGGGAGGCCTGAAAACGGGGGCCTCTGAAGTCCCTCCTGAGCCTGTGTGAATGAATGTGGATAGCTGATCCAAGGGGCTCCTGCATCCTCGCAGAGTATGAATACAGGAGGGTGGCCTCTTCTCTGTACAGCAGGGTGAAGGCCCACTTTACAGTCAGAACTCAATAAAGCAAAGAAAGCAGAGTAGGGGAGGGACCCAGGGCACCCCTAAGACCAAGTCCAGTGGGGTTAAGCAGCCTAGTGTTTTGAGGATTGGGAGTGTGTGTGTGGGGGGGTGTGTCTAGCCCCATCTTCAGGGGCTATGTGTTCATAGATGGGTGCCAGAGCCCCCAGAGGGAAGGGATGGGAAGAACAATGTGAGAGTCTGGTCGTGGCTAGGAGTCCTGGGAGCCAATGGAAGATGCGGATCAGGGACTAGGCCAGGGCAGGTCAAGGAAGAAGGGCAAAAACTCGGGGCGGGGAAATGAGCCAGGCCTGGGAATACCTGTGTGGACGCCCCACTTGCAGAAGAGGCTACTTTCCGAGAAACCGGTGGCCCCCATGATCTGCCCGATGACGTGCACCTCAGCCATGGCCCTGAGGGAAAAATAATCACAGCCCTGTGAAGTGTGTACTATCATCGCCAACTTGACAGATGAGGAAACTGAGGCCTACCAAGTAAGGCGTAGCACTAGCATTCCCAGCTAGTTTCGTCAAACTACTGAGCTTGCAGTCCTAACCACGATCCTGACCGCCTCCCCAAGAGAGCCCCGGAAAAATGAGGGGGGCGGGCCGAGAGCTGGGCGGGGAGCTGGCTTCTAACTAACTACCCGCCTCTGAGATAACTTCTTCCTTTGGCTCAGCGCGGCGGAAAACCCCGCCCCAAGACCCTGAGGCCCCTCCCACAGGCGCAAAGCCCCGCCTCCTCGCGTCCGAGCGCCACGAGGCGCATGCGTCTTAAGTGCGGGGCCGCCTGAGCCCCGCCCCCAAGCCCGCGCATGCGTTATTCCTACCTCAGAGCACCTAACGGTTAGGTGGGGCGAAGCAGCAGCGTGGGGTGCAGTTCATGCGCCTGACCTGTCCCTCTGTCGGCGGACGCCGACTTCCTAGGCTTGGCTCGCGCCTCTCCCACGAGCTTCCTGGCAGCGAGACACCCGAGGCGCCGGTCCCTCCGAGGCTGCGCCCGCCTTCGGGCTCCCTGGTTGTTGCTGGGGCAACCACAGCCTCCTCCCCTAGCCTGGCACCCGCCTTGCGGGCCGTTAATTGGCCCGAGCAGTGAGCGGGGGCGGGGCTAAGGTGTGATGGGCGTTTTCTCTCCCCTCTTTCTCCATTTTGGGAAGAGTGGCTCTCCCAGCTCGACTAGTGGTTCCGCCATGTGGGGCGTGGTCGGGCCGCTGCCATCTTGAGTGTGGCTGAGGAAGCCTGCGCGCCAACTGCTAATCCCGGACACCCTCCGCACAAAATAAGCGCATCTGGCCATGCTAAGACTCTCCCAGCCGGGACAGAGATCAGACACTTGAGCCAGGAGCAAGGGGGAAGCTCCCTGAGGTCATGGCGTGCATCCCCCCCGCCCCCCCCGCCTTATCATGAAAAAAAAAAAAAAATCCTTCCTCCCTCAGAGAGACTCAAGCTTGGGAGGGGGTTTTCCTTCCTTTTTTTAGAGTTTCCCTTGGCTCCCCGAGTACTGATAAATGCAACTTCCCTCTCCGGAAGGCCGCCCAGTTCTCTGTTACTGATTCTGAGCAAGGATGGGGAGCGTGGGGGAAGGGGTATGAGAGGATGGGGAGCGTGGGGGAAGGGGTATGAGAAATGAGGAACCGAGGCCCCTTTATCTGCAGAAAACCTAGTTCTTGGAGGCTGGACTCCGCCAGTAACTTGTCATGTGATTCTGCGCAGCCCCAGGTCTCAGTTACATCATCCGTGCAATGGGTGCAAGTAGAGTGACAGAGGAGGCACTGATTACCTAAGCAGTGTATCCTCCACCCTCAAAATCCACTTGAACCCCTAGTCTGTCCCTATTCCTCCAGCCCAGACCAGGATTCCGAAGGAGCCTCATGTTCCTATTTCTAGCAAAATGGAACTACACGAGTAGTCACCACCTCAAAATCATAAATGGGGGGGAGTTAGTTGGGTGGCTCAGTGGTTAAGCCTCTGCCTTTAGCTCAGGTCATGATCCAGGGTCCTGGGATCCAGCCCTGTTGGGCTCCCTTCCCAATAGGGAGTCTTCCTCTCCCTCTCCCTCTGCCCCTCCACCCCAATTCATTCTCTCTCTCTCTCCCTTGCAAATCAATTCTTTAAAATTACAGGTGGGGGGGGCAACATCTTAATAGGATAGTATTTATAGGGCAGCCTGGGTGGCTCAACGGTTGAGCCTCTGCCTTTGGCTCAGGGCGTGATCCTGGGGTCCTGGGATCGAGTCCTGCCTCTTTATGTCTCTCATGAATAAACAAATAAAATATTTAAAAAAAAGAAAGAAAATGGTTCCCAGGTCAGCTACCTAGATTTAAGTCTTAGCTCTGCCCCTTCTGTGTAACCTATAGCCTCTCTGTACCTTGGTTTTCTTTTCTGCAATGTGAGGATGAACAATAGGATCCACTTTGTTGGACTGTTGTCAGGATTCGATGAATTAATGTATGAAGTTGTTTTAAACTATGCCTACAGATTTTTTCTTTTTTTTTTTAAAGATTTTATTTATTTATTCATGAGAGACGCACAGAGAGAGAGAGGCAGAGACACAGGCAGAGGGAGAAGCAGGATCCATGCAGGGAGCCCGATATGTGGGACTCGATTCCCGGAACCCGGGATCAGGCCCTGGGCTGAAGGCGGCGCTAAACCGCTGAGCCACCAGGGCTGCCCTTTTCTTTTCTTTTCTTTTCTTTTCTTTTCTTTTCTTTTCTTTTCTTTTCTTTTCTTTTCTTTTCTTTTCTTTTCTTTTCTTTTCTTTTCTTTCTTTCTTTCTTTCTTTCTTTTCTTTTCTTTTCCTTTTCTTTTTTTTTTAAGTTAAGTGCTATGCCCAACTTTGAAGCTCGAATTCACAACCCCAAAATCAAGAGAGGCATGTACTTCTGACTGAGCCAACCAGGCGCCTCTGTCCACAGATTCTTTGATATGCCTTCATTCTTTTATTATTATTATTATTTTAACTTTTATTTATTTAAGTAATCTCAACACCCAACGTGGGGCTTGAACTCAATCCCAAGATCAAGAATCTCATGCTCTTCTGGCTGAGCCAGCCAGGCACCACTGATAGGCCTTCTTTCAATACACGGAAGCTGATTCCTTTCCCCCTTGATTACAGGTTGCACTTAAAACTCACTTCTAGCCAATACAGCGTGGCAGAAGTGTTGCTGTGTGACTTCCAAGACCAGGTCATAAAAGGCATTGAAGCTTCCTCCCCGCTCTTTCTCTTGGGTGGTTCGCTGTGAGGGAGGTCAGCCACCATGTTGTGACAGCAGAGAAGCAGCCAGTGGAAAGACCCAGTGGGGCAGATCCGGAGCCTTCTGCCAACAACCGGCACCATGCGAGTGATCCATGTTGGAAGTAGATCTTCCAACCCCAGTGGGATCTTCAGATGACCATAGCCCTGGCCATCATGAGACTCCTGGAATTAGAACCATCCAGCCAAGACACTGACACTGATTAGCAGAAACTATGTCAGATGATAAATGTTTGTTTTAAGCCACTAGGTTTTGGGGACTGATTTGTTATGAGGCAATAGATAACTACTACAAATTGTAATGAATCTGGGACGGTGCCCGCCAAATAGGAAGTAACTGCTATTATTGATGGGTTTTCTTATTGGTGTGTTATTACTGAAGTGGAATATTTCACATCCCCTTTCTTTTTGCAACAATATTTTACATATCTTTTCCAAGAAGCAAACTGAATATTTAATTACTTTTTACTTTTTAAATTTAAAAAATTGTGGTAAAAAGGCACATAAGATTTACCATTTTAGCCATTTTTAGGTGTACAGATCAGTGGCTTTGAGTCCATTCACATAAATGTGCAACCGACCTCTAGAACTCTTGTCATCTTGCAAAATGGAAACTCTGTACCCACGAAAGAACAAAGTCCCTGGGGCAGCCCAGGTGGCTCAGTTGGTAAAGCATCTGACTTGGTTTCGGCTCAGGTCATGATCTCAGGGTCATGAGATGCAGCTCTGCATTGGGCTCCATGCTAGGCATGGAGCCTGCTTGAGATTCTCTTCCTCTTCCTCTGCCCCTCCCACCCCCACCCCTGCTCTCTTTCTCTCCCTCTCTCCCTCTAAAAATATATAATAAATAATTTTTAAAAATGAAAAACAACATCCCAAGATTCTGTTTTCTCTTGGTTGCCAGAGGGAAGGGAGATGGGCAAACTGCATGAAGGGAAGTGGGAGACAGAGGCTTTCACTTGTGGAATGAATGAGTTGGGGGTGGAAGGTGCAGAATAAGAAGGAGTACGGTCAATGCTATTGTAATGACTCTGTAGGGTGACAGATGGTAGCCACACTTGTGGTGAACATAGCAGTTGGGTCTAGAGCAGTTGGGTCACTACGTTTATACCTGAAATTAATGTAACATTGTGTGTCAACTATACTCAAAAAATGAAAAAAACAAACAGGGGCCCCTGGCTGTCTCAGTTAGTGAGGCCTGTGACTCTTGACCTCGGCATCATGACTCAGAGCACCATATTGGGCTTACCCAAAAATACAGAAATACATAAATAAACAAACTACAAACAAAACCCACCACCGCCACCAACCCCTTCCTTTTCCTCCAGGTCCTGGCAACCACCATTCTACTTTCTATATTAACATGACTATCGGTGCCTCACAGAAATAGAATGATTCAACAGTTGTCCTCAGGGTTAGTCCATATTGTCGCACATGTCAGAATTGTCTCCCTTTTGTTTCATTTATTTTATTATTATTATTATCATTATTATTTTTATTTTTAAGCAGGCCCCAGGCTCAACATGGGGCTTGAACTTACAACCCCGAGGTCAAGAGTCTCAGGCTCTATTGACTGAGCCAGTTGGGAACCCCTGAATTTTCTTCCTTCCTAAGACTGAATACTATATACCCCATTTTCTTCATCTAGTCATCTCTTGATGGACCCTGGGGTTGCTTCCATCTTTTGGCTATGGTGAATAAGGCTGCCATGAACAGGGTGTACAAATATCTCTTCAAGATCCTGCCTTCAGTTCTTCAGGATCTTATAGAATTGGTGGGTCATATGGTTATTCTATTTTTTTTAAAGATTTTTATTTATTTATTCATGAGAGACACACAGAGAGAGGCAGAGACACAGGCAGAGGGAGAAGCAGGCTCCTTGCGGGGAGCCCAATGTAGGACTCGATCCCAGGACCCTGGGATCACGCCCTGAGCCAAAGGCAAATGCTCAACCACTGAGCCACCTGGGGACCCAGTAATTCTATTTTTAATTTTTGGAGAAACTGCCATACTATTTTCCATAGCAACTGTACATATTGTTTTACATCTTGCTTTTTTTCACTCAGTGATACATCTTAGAAAGTTATCCATGTCCGCATGTAGAGATCCAACTCACTTTCCCCCCAAAAATAACTGTTTTGAAGTATAATCTATGTGTAGAAAAGTGCATAAATCATAAGTGAACAGCTGGATTCAATTCCATAAATGCACCTGATAATCAGAAGTCAGCTCAAGGAAAGAACATGACCTTTCCACACAGTGCCCCAAGGGTAACTACTAACTGGACTTCTAACAACATGGGTTAATTTTGCCTGTTTTTCTTTTTAAGATTTATTTATTTATTTATGATAGACATAGAGAGAGAGAGGCAGAGACACAGGAGGAGGGAGAAGCAGGCTCCATGCCAGGAGCCCGACGTGGGACTTGATCCCAGGACTCCAGGATCGCGCCCTAGGCCAAAGGCAGGCGCTAAACCACTGAGCCACCCAGGGATCCCCAATTTTGCCTGGTTTTAAATTTTATATAAATGAAATCACACCGTATGTATTGTCAGGCGTCTTCTGTCTTTTGCGCAGCATTTCGTTTGCGAAACTCATCCACACTGTTGCACGTGGCTGTAGATTTTTCCTTTCCTTTGCTGTATAATTTCCTTTATGTGAAGATGCTACAACTTATTTACCTATCAGTTGGTGGAAATTTGTCTCGTGGTGGACATACAGTCGCATCTAGTTGGAGTGGAATTTCTGGGTGACAGGATATATACTGAGTGATAGAAGAAACTGCTCCAAGATTTGGTGGAAAACTGAGACTGGTGGGAATTCACACCCTGTCCCCCACCCCCCATCCTACGCTCTGATGAACAAAAAGGGTCAAACCCCAGCCCTCCTGATCTGACCCCGATGTAGGAGAATTCAAACCACAAACAATAGAAATCTATGCTTCATGGTGACAAGCTGTATGAAACAACCGCCAGAGCAGGTTAAGGAGCTAGTGACAGGTTATCTCTCCCAGATCAAAACAATCCTGCTCCAGGTCCCCGTCATCTACCCTCTGGTGGGTCTCCCTGCCTGTCTGCCAGAAACTCTGGCTGAGCCAAGTGCACTTGCAGACACCATCTGCTCTCCCCGGGGTGGGGCCGGTGCCAACTCCAGCGTCTGGACTCTTGGCACAGAGCCTGGAGCCCTGGAGCCCTGGAGCCCTGGAGCGAGGGAACTCTGGCCAGCCCCACATCCAGAGGGAAATCCTTCAGTTTGGCGGGGGCTGGTGAGATGGAGGGCCCCTGGGAAGGAGAAGCTGGTGCTAGCTGGGTGGGCTCCAGAGGGAGAGGGTGAGGAGGGTCTCTTACTCAGGCTGATGGAGACACAAGTGGATAATGATACTCATAAACATCATCAAACATATCCAGAGTGCCCACGTTTCCAGACTTTGGGTAAATGTGGGATGTTGGTTATCGCCCCTGATGTGAGTGCTTTATGTAAGAGGCAGGGAGTGTTGAGCCCATTTCACGGATGCAAAACTTAGGGTTCAGAGGCGAAGCCATCATCCAAAGGCCACACAGCAAGCGCCTTGAAGAGCCTGGAAGGCCCCACCTGATCACCAGGTGGGCACCTGGGCCTCCTTTCCTTGGAAACTCCCACCCCCCCTTCTGCCCCGCTGCCCCCTCCCGTTCCCTTGGGCCAGCGAGGAACACAGCCCCGGTTGTAATCTGCCCACCCCGGCGCCGGTTGTTCACCTCGGCCAAGTGAACCCACACCTCTGGACCTCAGCCTCTTCATCTGTAACACGGGGACGGCGATGCAGCTGCCGGGAAGCAGCAGCGCGATGATGACTGTGAAGCCTCTACCGCAGGGCCAGGGGTCCGGGCTTAGTCTGCACCCAGGGAACCGGGGCGAGCGCCCGCCCTCTCTGCTCCCGGGCCCCCCGCGTACCCCAGGACGGTAAACGACTGCGCCTCCTGGGCCGTCCTGGGCAGTAAGCGTGGACGCGTCCATGCACAGCGCTAAGAGCACCGCGCACCGTTAGCCGCCGTGGCTGGTATCATTACTGGCGGGGCGGAGGCGGGCCGGGCCGGGAAGGCCCTGGAGGAGCCGGGCGCCCCCTCCTCCGCCCCGCAGCGCGTGGGCCTGGGCTGGGGCGGGGGCGCGCTCAGGGCCCGCCGCCTCCGAGCCCCCCGCGGGCTCCCGCGCCCCTGGGCCGGCAGGGGTTGCGCGCTGGGCGCTGACGTCGGCCTTCAAGGCCCCCTCCCCGGCCGCGGCGGAGGGCGGAGCCGCAGCCCGCAGCCCCGCCCCCATCCCCGCCCCCGCGCGCTGCGGGCCTGGGGCGCAGAGCCCGGAGCCGGCGGAACGCGCAGACCCCGCGCCCCCAGGCCCGGGTCCCGCGGCGCGCGGGGCTCCCGGAGTTCCGTCGCCTGCGGGCCGCAGGGTCGGGGCGGCTGTCGGGGCGGGGGCCCGGGAGGTCCCGACGTACGGCCGCGGGCGGTGAGTGAGGGGCGCCGGGGGGCGGCACGGTGCTGGGGATGGGAGGCAAACCCTTGGTGAGGAAGTGCGCCCAAGCCAGGTTTGGAATGAGGCGGGAGGCTTGGGGGCGCCGCGGGGACCGTGGGGTAACAGTATTCCTTGTGGTTGAGTGTGTACGAGTGTGGCGGGTTGGGGCTGTTATGGGGGGAATCGCGCAAAGGTGGATTCTGGTCAAACAGGAAGTGTGGGGGCGCTGGTGGGTGTGCGGGCAATCGTGTAGCGCCACGGATGTGGGTGGAGTAGGAGAGGGATGCGTGGACCGGGTGTTTGGGGCAGGTGTGCAAGGGAAGTGAGTGATGGGAACAAGGGAGGGTGTCTGGGGTGCATGTGCGGGAAGCCTGCGCTTATGTGTGCAAACAGGGGGTCTGATGCTGGGGGAGCTAGGAGTGTGCAAGGGGTCATTTGGATTGAGTGTGTAAGGAGGTTGGGGGCTTCAGAGGGGTATTTAATGGGAGCTGATGTTCAGGGTAAGTATGCAGGGACGCCTTTGGGAGATGGGTGCCTGGAGGTGGGGGTTGGGCTTGCCTGGATGAGTCTGTGTCGCCAGGTACTGGTGTATTCAGTGTGCAGACCTATAGGCACACGGGACGTGTAGTTCGTGGGGCAAGTAAGTGTGCAAGGCACGGTTTGGAATAGGTGCGCAACAGGTATGTGGTTTTTGCCTGGAAGACAGAATCCCACATTTGACTGTCGAGCCCGCCACCCCACCGCCCCATTCTCTTCACAGCTTGGCCCAGCCTCTTTCATTCCGTGGGCCTCAGTTTTCCTCTTTGTAAAACGAGTCTGAGGGTCAGTGAACCAGGAATCTCTCCAGAGTCAGGGGAGGAAGAAACATGATGAGACTTTTACAACTTTCTTTTTTTTTTTTTCTTTCCTCTGCCTTCAGGAAACCTCTCCGGGAGCCTCTCCCTAGCCATGGACAACCCCAGTCTTCGAGAGCTCCAACAGCCTCTGCTGGCGGGTGTGGGCTGTGGGCCCCCCATCCAGAAACCTGGTGAACCCCAGCTGGGGCCTCCCTTTCGGGAGACGGCTTTTGCGGAGTCCCTGAGGGGCTGGCAGTTCTTGCCCCCACCTGTTCCTTCTGTGAGCGCTGGTCTTGGGGAGCTAGGGCCCCCTGACCTTGAGGTAGGAGCACCAGGCCTAATGGGAGCGGGCGGGGGGTGGGGGGCGGCTGGACTGGGCTGGGGGTATCTACCTCCTGCCTGGAGTCTTAATTCTTCGATGCCCAGTTGTGGTTTTTCCAGATCTATGCCTCCCCTGGTTTCTTTACCTTTTTCTAGATTTGTCACTCATCTTTCTTTCCTCACCTTGGCTATCTTCCCTCTGATTTCTGGCTCCCCTGTTCTCTGTCTTTCCCTCTCTCTCTGGTCCTGATCTCTTTTTTTTTTTTTAGATTAACGTGTTAATTTGTATCATTTCTTTTTCCTTGTATATAGTGTGAAGCTTGTCTTCTATTTATTTCTTTCTTTAAAATATTTTATTTTATTTTTTAAGATTTTATTTATTTATTCAGAGAGAGAGAGAGAGAGGCAGAGACACAGAGACACAGGCAGAGAGAGAATCAGAGAGAGAAGCAGGCTCCATGCAGGGAGCCCAACGCAGGACTCAATCTCGGGTCTCCAGGATCACAACCCGGGCTGCAGGCAGCGCTAAACCGCTTCGCCACCGGGGCTGCCCAATATTTTATTTTTAAGTAATCTCTCCACCCAGCTTGGGGCTCGAACTCATGACCCTGGGATCAAGAGTCACACGCTCTACTGACTGAGCCGGCCAGACTCCCCACTTGTCTTTTATTTCTTACACTTGGTTTTCCAAGTTACTATTCCTGTAGAAGAAATCACCCCAAAACTCAGTTGCTTAAAACAGCAACAATCATTATGGCTCATGGTTTCCACGGGTCAGGAGTCTGGGAGGGCCTGGGTTGGGTGGTTCTGGCTCCGTGTCTTTCATGAGGTTGCGGTCAGCCGCTGGCTAGAGCTGAACCAGTCCAGGGCTGAAGCAGCTGGGAGCTGAGTGGGTGTCTCTCTCTTAATGTGTAGTCTTGGGGCTTCTGCATGAGGCTCCCCTTGTGGGTTGGTTTGGGCCTCCTCACAACATGGCAGCTTCAGCACAGTCCGCATCCTTCTGGGCCTCCGGCCTCCAGCACCAGTGCTTCGGCGAGGCAGAAACTGCCTCACCTTTCCTGACTGATGCTTGGAAATCATGTGGCATGACTTCTACCACATTCTACCAATTATGAGTGAGTCACAGCCTGCCCGGTCTCAAGGAGAGGGGACAAAGACCTCAGCCCTTGGTGGGAAGAGTATCACTCACACTATAAGAAGAGCATGTGGGATGGGAGACGGTGGTGGTCATTTTTGGAGACGCGGTCTGCGTCGTGGTGGCAGCGTCACTTTGACATTGTATGTGTCTGATGATTCCATTCTTTGAAGATGTTGGGGGCCTTATTATTTTTGCTCTTTAGGGTTTGTTGTGTGCCTGGTTATCTTTGGACTGTATGCTGGTCATCATGTTTGAAAAGCTATTTTCAGGAAAGATTATTTTGAGGCCTAGACGGAAGGTACACACCTTTCTCCAGAGAGGGTTTGGTTTGCTTCTGTCAGCTGCCTGGGGGCACTACCAGTTAGAGATCGCTTTGAATCTAGTTCACGGTTTGACTGAAAGTTTTTTTTTTTTTTTTCTGGGATTGGCACCCGGCTGCAGGGCAAAAGAGGCCTTCTCTGTTCATTTGACTTCTCTACTAACTTTGTTTTTATTTTCAGTTTTGGCCTTAATCTTGGGAGCTATTTAATACAAGATTAAAACAAAAAGCAATACCATTTTATTTAAAGATTTTATTTATTCATGAGAGACATAGGCAGAGGGAGAAGCAGGCTCCCCGCAGGAAGCCCGACGTGGGTCCTGATCCCAGGACTCCAGGATCACACCCTGGGCTGAAGGTAGATGCTTAACCACTGAGCCACCCAGGCGTCCCAAAGCAATACCATTTTTTAAAAAAAAAATCTAGAATTTATCGTTTTCAGCTGGCAGGTTTGTCCTAGTAACTAACATAGGCCACCAGAGCTCTCTTGATCTCCAACTTTTTGCCTGTTCCTGTCCCGATTGGTGTCTGCCTCCACTTTGGGGACTTTTAATTCTTCAATTGCAGTATCCGTGAGGGGACCTGTGAAGTCTTTGGAATTGCACATAAGACTTTGGGTGTGGGTGGGGTTCTTTGGAGACAGGGTACAGAGCTTCCCCTCAAAGGGATCCAGGGTGTAGAAAGTTAAGAGCCAGTTTCCTGGAACACTTTCCTCTCTTGGGTGTTTCCGGGGAGGCCCTGGTATTGGTCTTTGGGGGCTATGGGGAGCAGAGCAGGGGGGCAGGGAAGGTGGGTGGTGGTGCCCACGCAGGCCCTTTATCCTACCCATAGGATGCATCATCCAGCGACAGTGATTCGGACTGCGATGGGGGCAGCCTTCTCTCCCCGCTCCTACCCCACGACCACCTCGGCTTGGCTGTCTTCTCCATGCTCTGCTGTTTCTGGCCTGTGGGCATCGCTGCCTTCTGCCTGGCCCAGAAGGTCAGTCGTGGGTGGGGCTGGGAGTGGGCTGGATATAAGGGGAAAGTGCCTTCCGAACGAACAAAACGAGGTGCAATGCGTGGGTGGGGTGGGCAAATTGGGGGAGAAGGACGTGTACAGAAACGTGGAAGGGTAAATCGAGCGTTTCAGAGTGAAAGCCCCAAGTGGTGGTTAGGAACCTGAGCCCAAGTCCCAGGGGTGGCACACTAAGATTTTGGGGGCGAGCCACTTAACCTCCCTGTGCCTCTTTTTCGTCGTCTGTGAAATGGGAATAATCCCCACCTCTGGGTCATCGTGGGGCTCAAAGGAGTTAGAGCAGGGGCACAGGGTAATAGGTGGGCACTTTTATAAGCCACCTGGGCTCCCCTGTCCCCAGCTGTCTGACCCGCAGGGGCCGCTCCCAGTCTTTGGAATCTATGAATGCGTCCGCGGGTGTGCGGGGGAGGGGGGGCTGCGGGCGGCCGGGTGGGACGGGACGGGGGCTGCCTGAGTCACCGCTGCCCACGCCTCCACAGACCAACAAGGCTTGGGCCAAGGGGGACGTCCAGGGCGCAGGGGCCGCCTCCCGCCGCGCCTTCCTGCTGGGGGTCCTCGCCGTCGGGCTGGGCGTGTGCACCTATGCGGCCGCCCTGGTGACCCTGGCCGCCTACCTGGCCTCCCGAGAGCCGCCCTAGCTGCCCCTGCGCCCCCGTCGCGAATCGGGGCCCGGGAGCCGGGGCGTCGGCGGGCGACGTGGAGCAGCCCGGGGGAGGCGGCGGCAAGCCCCCCCCTTCCCGGCCGCGGCGTGAGATTAAACTCCAGACGCTCTCGCAGCCAAAGCTGTGTGTGTGTTGTACTGGGGGTGGGGGTGAGACCGGGGAGGGGCCGTCCCCGGGGTGCTCCCGAGGCCTCGGAGGGGAAGAGGGCTCCCCAGCTTGCAGACTGCTCTCCCCAGTGTAGCGCTGTAGCAAATAAGCGCTGGGCCCAAGGGCTTACTCCTCACCTTGGCCCAAGAGACAGCTCTTTGAGCCCCCCCTTACCCCCCCTTCCCTGCCCCTGGGAGCTTTGGGGAAGGCCAAACGGGAAGGAGCCGGAGGCAGAACTGGACTCTGGGGCTCGCGTGAAATGGTCTGATCCCTCCATCTCTTGGGCCTCCTTCTGTGCTGCCTTGGGGGGGGGGGGGTGGCCCCAGGAGCTTAGGCACCCGGTGGGAATCACAGGGCCAGGCCAGGAGCAGACCTGAGCGCCCACTGAGCCGGCCGGGTGGGTGACTGAGTAATGGCAGGACAGGCAGGCGGTTTGGTTTTCTCACTGTTTAATGCCATTCCGGTGGATCTTCCTAGAAGAAAACGCTCTCCCACTTGGCGTTCTCCTGAGTCTCATGGAGCACAATTTCAAGCTGAAGACTTTGATGCTTTTTCCTTCTTGGTTACTGGGGACGAAAATGACACAGGCTCCAAGGGGGCAATTGTGGGAACTGTGTGAACTAGTTCAAGCATGTGAAGCACGCAGCAGAGGGCCCGCCAGACATATAATTTTCACTGTAAACCCCCAAATGTCAGTGCCCCATGGAATCTGGTGACCATGTGGCCCAGCTGTGGGGCAGTCCCTCCTCATGGGATGCTCTCGCATTCTTGGCTCCTGCCCACTAGATACGGGGGCGGGGACCAGAGCAGACCAATGTTGACTAGCCCCCTGTATCTTCACACACCTTAGGGGGTGCTATACCCATGAGAGACCATGGGCCTCGGCCACTTCTGGTTACAGATGGGGAGCTGTGGTCCTGGGTGTGCTGGTATCTCTCGGGCTGGTCTGAATACTGAAAGGCTCTGGGCTGGCCTCTGAGCAGAACCCCTGCTCCATCACCAACTAGCTGGTACCTCCAGCAGCTGACTGACCTGAGCTTTTTTCACATTAAGACAGGATGCCAAGACCCACAAGGCCCTGCCACTGTGCCCATTCCCCCCTGACCCAGCTCTTCCCTCTCAGGTCCCCACCTGCTCTGCTCCAGCCCCCAGAGCCACACTGGAGCCTCACCACCTTCCATAGGCCTCCTCCGGGGCTTCCCTTGGATGCCTCCATCCCCTGGGCATCCCTTTTAAAAATTCACCCTCCTCAAACCCCTCTTCCCTGCTTTATTCATAACATTTACCACCACCTGATAAACACTGATATTCTTTGCCCATCACCCACTGCTTCCTGAACCTGGGGGCGGGGGGTGTCATCATTTACCCCTGAGTCTAGCACCTGGCAGGGCCTGCACACAGCAGGTACCCCAGTATTAGACTGGTGGTTGGGGAAGGAAGGGCTTTCCCAGGTCGGAAATGCTTTCTTGGGGGCCAGGGTCCTGTGCCCTAGGCCCACGAGCTCATCCGGGCACACAGGGACTGAGAGGCGAGGCTAGCTGCTGGTTTATTTTCCACGGAGGTAGTGGGTGGTGGCGGTGGCTGCGGCCACGGCGGAGGGGCGCCCTGCCCCGGCTTGTCTCAGCTCTTCGAGTAACGCCTCTGCAACGATTCCCGGTAGAAGCGGAAGACGTGTTGTGAGGCGGCCTGGGCGGCGGCCAGGCACTGCTGAAGCTGGTGGCAGAGAGAGCTGCTGCTGCCGGGGCCTCCCTGCTCCCACCCAGCTGACCCCACAGCTTGCCCTGGCCTCAGCTGGTTCCCTGAGCCCCAGACCTCCTGCCTCCCCTGCAGTGGCCTTTCTTTCTTCCCCATTTTGTGGGATCTTTCTTAGAGGGGATACAGAAAGAGGTGAGGGCTTCAGGGGTCCAATTCTGGCAGCTCCAGGAGCATGGACGGTGGGACCAGGCATCCTGACCCCTGGACAAAGCCTCAACGTGGCACAGCCCCAACTGGAGATCTAGACCTTTTGAGCCACAGGCCCTATGGTGCCAAATCACCCTTGGGGTGCCAAATCTGGGACCCCAGATCCTGACCACCACACATTCCTAGGTTCAGGTTGGAGGTGCTCAGGTTGGAGGTGCTCTCGGAGACCAGAGTGCTGGAGTTCTGGGGGGCATGCTGAGCTGGAAGGGGAGGGCTTTCAGGTGCCTCCCCTCCTTTGCTCTCCAGACTACGGCTTCCCTTTAAAATTCCCACAAGTGTTTCTGTGCCTGCATCCAAAAGGGATGTAAAAAGGCGCTCTCCTTCAGCCTCCCGGAGTCCCGACAAGACCTCACGTCAGGAGGGAGGGATCTGGCCTCCACCCCATCTCCACACTGGTACCTCAGCAGCGGAGTAGAGCCCCTTGGTGGTGGACATTAGCAGCTTCCGTTCCACGCTGTCCAGCGCGAAGGTCAGGACTGCCCGGGCCTCCTAGAGATGAGGGGTAGGAATGCCTGGACTCTCCCCTCAGGCACAGGCTCAGCTGGTCCCAAGAGGGGACCCGCCCTTCCCACAGCCCACACTCCCAAGTGTGTCAAGTGGAGGTGTGTACACTGCCCGTTTCCCTGAACAACGCTCTTGGCCTTTCCTTCTTCAGAAGCCCCATGCCCCCATTCCACCCACATAGTTCCGACAGGGGCAGCTGCACGGCCAGTCATCAGCTGGTACCTCTCAGCCCCCTGCTCCCCTTCCCTGCTTTGTACCACCCAGGCTGGAGGCTGGCAAACTATTTCCTAGACTCCTTTGCCAGTTAGGGGCCACCAGTAATCTGGAGGAGCGGCTGAAGGAGGGAGGACCGCATCCTGTCCTTGCTCTGACAGGAGCAGGGGCTGTGGCTGTGGCAGTTCCCACAGGGCCACAGAGGCCAGAGTGGGCTCTGGACTTCGGCTGCCAGGGCGAAGCCAGGACGCCTTGTGTGCACCCAGAACCCACTGTGACTGTGTCTCCTGGCAGCACGGAGTGGGAGCACCCTACTGGCTTCTGGTCTCTGGGTATCGCCCTTCTTCCTGGTTGCTCCTTCGACTCTTCCAACACTATCATAACCGGTTCCCTCAGTGGATTCCTGTCTGAAATACCTCAGGTGGGTTCTGCTTTCCCGCCAGGATGCACCCATCAAGGTACCAGGTGAGGATCTCGGAGGAACCCCCAGGGCACTGTGACCTTGAGCTGGTGAGGAAAGTCTAGAGTTCTGGAGGCTGGTCATAGCCTTGGGCCAGGGGCTGGCTAGAGAACGGAACCAAATGGAACTAACATGCAGAAGACAGCAGACACTGAGAAGCAAAACAAGGGCATCCTCAGGGTGTTTGAGGCCCTGGCTCCAGCTGGACCTCTGTTCTGAGGCCCTCTGTCCCGAAGGTCAATATGTTCCCTTTTAACTGAAGTGGGTCCGAGCTGGGGTGCTACCACTCGCCCTGATGAACGAACCCGAACTTGCCAAATGGGACTGACGTGACAAGTGTTCCGGGAAGTGAGGCCCAGGGGAGGAGTGTCTGCTCGTGGCCGTTCACCAGCCACGGCCTTCAAACTTACCTTCTCTTGTTTGGCTGTGGGATCCAGCACGAGGGTGCCATCAGAGTTCAGAGCACAGGTGACCCCACAGAAGAGGGCCCGCATGGGCACACCTGCGTCCACCAATGCCATGCAGGCGGCGTTCAGGCAGCAGGCCAGGAGCTGGGTGCCACAGGGAGGGGTTAAGAAGCGTTCCCACTATAGTGGTGGCCACAGAGTAGGTCTATCCCTCCATTCACCCCGCCGCTGCCAGTGGGCCCACTTCACTAACTGATCGCAGGAAGGCAGCGTACGGCACGGTGGCTCGAAGTGGTTCTGGGGTCAAGTGTCCTCGGGTTCCTGACCCGCCTTTGCCACCTCTCGGCGGTGAGAGCTTGAGCAAGCGACTTATTCTCTCTGAGCCTCAATCGGGGGTCATAAGGTACTCAACAGATCTGTACCGGGTGGGGGCGGGGGGGGGGTCGGGGAAGAGAGAAACCTTCCACAATCGCATAGGGAGGGAGTGGCAGGGCCACGCCTGGAGCCTGGGGATCTGGAGGCCGCCACCACCAGCTGACAGCCTGACAAGGTGACAGAGAGAGGAGCAGTCATCTTTAGGGGTGAGGTGTGGCTGTGGCACGCGCAGGTGAGCCGAGGCTGGAGCCTAACAGCCAGCCCTGCCTCAGTTTCCTCTAGTCTCTGCGCCCAGCCCCATCACGGTGGCCAGGAGTCGAGCTTTAGGGTCAGTCGGTCCCATCTCTGCCACTGTCCCTGTTACCTCCCCTCTGGCCTTCAGTTTCCTGCTCTGGGAAATGGGGCCTGCTCAAAGCTGGGCCACGCAGCTGCAAGCCCCTCTAGAAATGCCCATTTCTGGCCCTCAGTCCTAACCTCTCACTGAACCACGGGGATCTACGGTCGAGCCGCTGACCCAACTCCTCTGCCCGCTCAGAGGACTCCCCACTCAAGGTCAGAGAAGGTCAATGGCACAGGTTTTGTAGGCAGTCAGGCCTGGGCTTGAGTTCTGCCCCTGCCGCCTTCCAGCTGTGTGACTCTGGGTAAGTGACTTCCCCTCTCGGGGCCTGTTTCCTCACCTCAAACATGGGAACGTAGGAACTCCCATCTGCCCGGGGCCTCGGGCTCTGGGAGCACATGGCTTGGGCTCAAATCCTGGTTCTGCATTATTAGACAAGAGCTGACCTTCCTGTGCCTTAGTTTCCCCATTTGGGCCATGGGGGATTATAGCGGCACCGAACTGTCGTGCCGTGAGGATGAAGTGAGTTAACATGTGTAAGGCACTCAGACCAGTGCCCGATGCGTGGTGAGCACTCAAGCTGTGTTTGCTATTCTTCAACAAGAGGGTGCCTGTCAAGTGTTTGGAGGCCTCCTAACAGAGCAAGGGAGGCCACCACGGAGATTCTGGAGGACTTCCTGGAGGAGGAGGCCTGGGGGGGAAGGATACAGAGCCAGCATCACTGACGACCTGCAGCACCACAGTGATGGAGGTGCGGGGGTGCAGCGTTCCCAATACCACTGCTTCACACGTGTTCCTGATCAGTCGCTCCCGGCTCTTCTCCGCAACGCCTGGGGAAAATCAGGGGTGGGGCGGGGCGGGGTGGGGTTGTCAGCCTCTTCCTTCCATCTGGCTTACCTTCCTCCACATGCCCCACCCAAGCCCTCTGGAGAGGGCCTGCCATCTCCACCAGGGCTGGTGCAGGACCCTGCACGGATGACAGAGGACCCCCAGTGGGAAGGAGGCAGGGCCTGACCGGACCCACCCCGCCCCACCCCTGCCCCCTCCAGCATCCAGCAAGGGAGCCTCTTGGGGGAGGAAAACCCTGAGTTCCTCTGTCCCCTGCCGCTGCCCACTCCCATCCTGCTGAACCCAGCCTCAGCGTAAGGGGGAGAGTAAACGGGTGGAAAAACAGGTTAGTGGAAAGAAGGGGAGATGGAGCCAGGAAAGAGGAGTGGGGAGGACAGACTAGGAGGTGGGGGACAGACAGGAGGCCGAGAGCCGGGGAAAGGCGCAAAGAGCTGAGGGTGGGGACGGCGGAGGGGCAGAAGGTGGAGCTCCTGCCGCCCATTACCAGGCAGCCCGATCTTCGGCCTCAGGATCACCTCCAGGGTGGCCTTGTTGAAGATCTCTTTGCTGACTTTCACCTCGGCTGGCCCGTACACGCCCACCAGGACTGACGTGTCCCCTGGGGAGAGAGCAGGGCAGGTCTCACGCACACCTTGCCTTCCTGGGGCTGCAGGGGTCAGGGTGGGGGCACCAGGGCAGGGAGCTGGCGGCTGGCCTTCCCCGCGCCAGCCCCGGTCTGGCCCACCTTTTGCTGGTAGTGGTTCTTTGAGCACTGGCTTCATTCACGTCTCTGCCTACGCTTCTTCATCTGGGACATGGGGATGATGGCAGCACCTAACCTTGTAGTGTCGCGAGGATTAAACGAGGTCATCCACGTCAAACACTGCGGCTATGGCCCAGCGCACCACTGACTTTAGCTATTCTTAACTTTAACAGGAAGTTCTTCCCGAGGGCTAACCTTCCTCCTCCTTACTGCAGTTGGTCTCAACTCCTCACAAAGCTTCCTCCAACCTAGCTCTCTTCCCTCGGGCTCACGTCCCCAAACTCTGCAGTCATCGGGACCCCCGAGAGTGAGAAATACCCAGGAGGGGTCCTGAGTGGGCACGAATGGGGTCCGCGGAGGTAAGACCTGAGAAGCAAAAGCCTGGCTTCAAGGAGTGCCTGGTGGCTCAGTCGGTTGAGCATCTGCTTTTGGCTCAGGTCATGATCTCAGGGTCCTGGGATCGAGCCCCAAGTGGGCTGATCTTCTCCTTCTCCTGCTCCCCCTGCTTGTGCAAGCATGCACACTCTCTCTTGCTGTCAAATAAATCTTCAACCAAACAAAAAAAGCCCCCAAAACCCCTGACTTCTGGTCCTGCCTGCATCTTGCTAGCTCTGTAACCTTGGCTGATTGTACTCACTTCTCTGGGCCTCAGTTTTACCATCTGCAAAATGAAGAGACTGAACTACACAAGTGGCTGTTGAAGCTTTTCTTGCCATAACTCTCAATTAAAAAAAATGTATTTTCTGGCACCACCCCAAATTCATGCAAATCTCCATGTGTGGACATGCAACAAAGGCCTCATAAAATGCCTCTTACCATCACTGCTCTGACACTCTGATGCTTTCTACTCTACTCTAGTTCATTTAATTTTATTTATTTACTTTTTATTTATTTATTATTTATTAAAGATTTTATTTGTTTATTCATGAGACACACAGGGGCCGGGGGGCAGAGACAAAGGCAGAGGGAGAAGCAGGCTCCATGCAGGGAGCCCGATGTGGGACTCAATCCCGGGACTCCAGGGTCACACCCTGAGCTGAAGGCAGATGCTCAACTGCTGAGCTACCCAGGGATCCCAACTTATTTACTTTTTTGATTTTATTTTTACATGGGGCTCAAACTCACAGCCCTGGGATCGAGAGTCAGACGCTCCTTGACAGAGTCGGTCAAGCGCCCCTACTCTATTCCAGTTAAAAAGTACTGCCAACCGCAGCAGTGGTCTTGAACCCTGGCTGCATGCTCAGAATCACCGGGGCACTTGAAAAGACGTCCAGCCCCCTCCCCCAGAGATCCTAATTCAGCTGCCGGGTGGGGCATGGGCACTGGGAGCATAAGAGCTCCCACGGGTCATTCTGACGTGCAGCTGGGCCCACAGTCTGCAGTGGGAAAAACAGAGCTTGAGCACAGCTTCGAAACACTGCAAATCTCTGCAGCGGTTACAGATGGAGAGGGGCCAGCCTTAGCAGGTGTGCGGTGGATTCTGGGACCCTGCCTTTTTAACAACCCCATCAGAGATTTGGAGGCCAAAGGCGGGTGGGACGTACTTTCCAGGGTCTGCCAGGGGTCCCAGAGTTTGGGAGTTTTAGAACGTGGAAGGCGTTAACCCTCCTTAGTGTTTCTAAAGTCTAAGAAACTCCAGGCATATGATTTTAGCAGAAGAGCAAAGTCTCCAGGAGGGCCTGGGAAGGTCCCCAGGGTCAGGGCATGTTTCCTGGGTTGGGGAGAAGGAGCTGCACCAGAGCTGAGGGATTCTCTTGGCTACAGGAGAATCTGCCCTCAGAGGGGAACTTAACCACAGAGGACGAGATCCACACGTTGCTCTTCATTCTTTTCTGGATGAGCTGCCTGTGGCCCCCATGAGCCTAGGAGACTCTCCCTCTCATCTTCTCAGGGACAGGGCCCCAGCAATTTTCTGGAGCAATTCAAGGAATTCTATATTCTTTGGATCCACATCCATCTTCAACTCCTGCCCCATTTATCTGATCCTCTTCCAGCAAAGCTCTCAAAGACAAGTCTGACTTGCTGTCTTTTTCTTCTCCTCCCTGACCCCACCACTCCACCGGAACAGCTCTTGACAGCATCACAGATGACACAGGTCTGGACTGTCCACCGACAGGTCTGGAGGACGGATGCAGCTGGTGGGCCCTTACATCTCAAACACTTCTCTAAGCCCCTCTGAGGTCAGTGTCCTCAGGTCCTGAGGTCAGTGGTTTTTCCTCCCACCTTACTGGCTGCTTTTCTCTGGTCTTTTCCTAGCTCCTCACAGGTTAGAAAACCCTGGATTTAGTCTGTGACCTCTTCTCTTTCCACGTACACTTGTTCTCTTGATTTCACCCAATCAATAGTGTGAAACACCATCTATAGCCAGAGAATTCCAAATTATATATTCAGGTTGAGTCTCTCTCTTTTTAAGATTTTATTTACTTATTTCACACACACACACACACACACACACACACACACACAGTGCACAAGGGGGGAGCAGCAGGCAGAGGGAGAAGCAGGCTCCCCACTGAGCAGGGAGCCTGATGCTGGGCAGGATCCTAGACCCTGAGATCATGACCTGAGCTGAAGGCAGATGCTTAACTGACTGAGCCACCCAGGCGCCTCTGGGTCTCTCCTCCAAAATGCAGACTTCTATATCCTATTGCCCTGTCCACATAGTCACTGTGATGTCCACCAGGCACTGCAAACTTAATGTTCCAAATTGAACTCCTCATCTCCCAGTACAGCTGATTTGGAAAAAAAATCTTGGTGTTATCCCTCTCCTTCTCACACTCCAACACTGAACCATCTGCAAGTTTGTGTTTTACTTTCAACATACATACACCCAGAATCTCACCACCTCCACTGCTTCCACTCTGGTCTGAGCCACCACATCTCCCCTTCTTTCTCATATCTATACAGTCAACACTGCAGCAGAGAGATTCTGTTAAAATATATTCAGATCATGTCAACCCTCTGAGCAAAACTTGGAAGCAGTGGCCCCCAGCTCATTCATTATGCATCACATGACAAGCAATCCTCCTTAGCTCTCCCCAGCCTCCTCACTGCTTTGGCCACACAGTCTCCAGACTATTCCTCAAACACACCAGACAAATCCTTGCCTCACGGCCTCTGCCCCTGCAGTTCTTCAACCTAGGTATGCTTTTCCTCCTGGTTATCTTCAAGGTTTGCTCCCTTACCTTTAGGTCTTTATTCAAATGTCACCATCTCATCAAGGCCTTTCCTGACTATCCGGTTAAGATCGCAACCCTCTCTGGCACACCCTATTTCCTTTCCCTACTATAATTTTTCTCCATAGCATCTTCCTACATATTTTTTTTTTAATATATTTTTTTAATTTTTATTTATTTATGATAGGCACACAGTGAGAGAGAGAGAGAGAGAGAGGCAGAGATGCAGGCAGAGGGAGAAGCAGGCTCCATGCACCGGGAGCCCGACGTGGGAATCGATCCCGGGTCTCCAGGATCGCGCCCTGGGCCAAAGGCAGGCGCCAATCCACTGCGCCACCCAGGGATCCCCCCTACATATTTTTTTTAAAGATTTTATTTATTTATTCATGAGAGACACACACAGAGAGAGCCAGAGACACAGGCAGAGGGAGAAGCAGGCTCCATGCAGGGAGCCCGATGAGGGACTCGATCCTTGGTCTTGAGGATCACGCCCTGGGCTGAAGGCACCGCTAAACCGCTGAGCCACCAGGCTGCCCTCCTACATATTTTTTTTTAAGATTTTTTTATTTTTATTTTTTTATTTATTCATGATAGAGAGAGAGAAAGAGGCAGAGACACAGGCAGAGGGAGAAGCAGGCTCCATGCAGAAGCCCAACGCGGGACTCGATCCCAGGACTCCAGGATTGCGCCCTGGGCCAAAGGCAGGCGCCAAACCACGGAGCCACCCAGGGATCCCCTTCCTACATATTTTACTTATCTTTTGTCTGTCTTCTTGACTAGAACATAAACTGTTAAGTCAGGGATTTAAAATGTGTGTGTTTTTTTTTAAGATTTATTTATGATGAAAGAGAGAGAGAGAGAGAGAGAGAGAAAGGCAGACAGAGAAGCAGGCTCCATGCAGGGAGCCGGAAGTGGGACTTGATCCTCGAGTCCAGGATCACGCCCTGGGCCAAAGGCAGGCGCCAAACCACTGAGCCACCCAGGCATCCCTTTAAAATGTATTTTATCCACGTATTCCCAGGGCCCAGGACAGTGCTTAATGCGAATACACATGTGTTCAATGAAGGAATGAATGAAAACAGGTTTTGTACCTGGGTAGAAGGTAATGCCCCTTGTGAGGAGGCTGAAGCATTTATGGGGGTGATTCTTAGGCTATCTTCAGAGGAATATTCACCCGGGGCAGGGAGCTGAGATGCATTCGGTCACGGGAAGGAGATATTTTACCCAATAGGGAAAGCCTGCCCCAAACCTAGGGATATTTACACGTATGGAGAGATGTGTATTGCTGTCAAAGGGATATATACCGCACTGGTGCGTAAGAAGGGGGACAGTCACTCTCAGATACTCTGAAAAGTATTTACCTGGACAAAAGGACAAGCCGCAGTCCAGAGAGTAATGAAGCCGGTAGTGTTGATTTGCGGGTCTATTTACGCGAATGGGCAGGTTTGCCGCAGCCTGGCGTGCATGGACCCGGGGTGTCCGCGGGGGAGGCGGGAGACGAATTTAATCAAGGGAGATATTTACTCTGCTGAGCGCCTCTCTCCTCGGAGTATTTACCACGGTGGCGATACCGTCTCCCTTCTAGCCGGGAGCGCAGGATACGTTATTCCGGCATATCCGGGAGTATCCAACCGGGCAAGAAGAACTGCACCACCCGTGCAGGAGGGACACTTACCAGCTAGGGGCACTCCTCTGCATGGTAACCTGTATCCTTCCAAAACAAATACAACGTGGCGAACGTGGCACAGGCAGTGTTTGCCTAGGTTAAGTCCTTACCTTGCAGGAAAGAGGCAGAGCCATCCGGCCGGGACAAAAGGTTCTGCTCACAAGCAAAGTGCCGGAGGCTGCAGCCCGGGCCCCGAGGGCCGGACTCTGTTCCAGACTCCGCGCAGGTCTTCGCGTCCGCGGGCAGCGTCCCCTCCATCGCCCCAGATCCCACGTGCCGCTGCGGAACCTCGCTTCCGCACGGGAGCGCGCGCGGGCGTCCAGCCTGCGTGCCCAGTGCGCACGCGCAGGTCCGGGGCGCCAGGACCCGTTCCCGCACGTGGCTCCGCGTTTACTAACAATCTGGCCCCTCCCACTCCCGCCTCGCAAGCCCATTGGAGACTAGCGAAGAGAGGGCGGGCCTTGGCGTGGACTCGTCCTACCCGAAGCCCCCGCGCCCTAAAGCCCTAAGGCTCTGGTCAGGTTGTCCTCTCCTTTGCCTGTTACAGAAACAACTAAGGTGAGGTGATGAGAGTAATTTTGGCAACCTAGGTTGTTTGTTCCTCCCGTACCCGTGCCCTGGAGACTGCAGGGTGGGTCGCTGGTGGTTTTCTTGGCAGGGCGGTGCTAGCATTTGAGTCAGGCTCATGAAGGGGCAGCCCCCAGTCTAGCCGAGGAGAGGGGCGGAGCTCTGAGGGGTTGTGAGCCAAGATGGCGATGGCGGCGGCGGCGGCGGCGGCAGTGAGGGTCTGGGGCTCGAGTCGAGGTTTGGGCCGGGCTGGTCTCCTGCTCCTGCGCCGGCCTTGGGCTCGGGGGCTGGCTAGATCTGTGAGTACCTGGGGAGTTTTCCCCGAGGGAGAATAGGGATGTCAACGCCGTCTTCCGACGTGGGGTCCGCGCAGGGAGTGAACGAAGGGCTGTCACAGAAGGGACCGGGGCTGAGAGAGCTGCTCCGTGAGGACCTTCGGGAAGAACTTCCACTCCCTCAGGAGAGGAGAAGTGAGGCAGCTCCTCTGTGGGCCCGGAGAGAGGGAGACAACGTGGAGAGAGAGAAGGAGTTCCGCTTTAGTTGCCACTCATACCCACGGGAGGCCGCGTGGAGGGACACGGTAGGACGGCGAGACATTGCCCCGCAAGCGTTGGAGACTGCGACTGCCCGAGGCTGAGGCTTCTGGGTGTGGCTCCCCCTCAGGAAGGAGAAAAGAGAGATCAGGTTCTCCGACGCGGGCTTTTATAGTGCGCTGCATTTGTTTTACTACTGTTCTTCTTCTTCTTCTTCTAGTTTTTTTTTTTTTTTGAGATTTTATTTATTCATGAGACCCAGAGAGAGGCAGAGACACAGGCTGAGGGAGAAGCAGGCTCCCTGCAGGGAGCCTGATGGAGAACTCCATCCCAGGACCCCAGGATCAGGACCTGGGCGGAAGGCAGACGCTCAACCACTGAGCCCCCTGGTCATCCCACCCACATTTCTGGGTAACACTTGAGAGATGCCTCAATTCTTATCAAAAGGGTCAGAATTCCCTTGGGTTGATGATGCAAACTGTAAGTTCACACAGCGGAAGTCTAACTAGAAGCTCGTTCAGAGGGAGAGAGGCCTTGGGCTGCGGAAGAACCGTGAACTGAAATTTCCCAGGTCAGAGAGTAGTGTTTGGGAAGGCAGGTTCCTGTCCCCCACATGCTGGACAGAGGACTGCCCCTCCGGACCTCAACAGAGGGGCGCCTTCCCCTTTCTAAAATGCTAACTGACCACCTCGTAGGGTTGTGGTAAAAATCAAGTATGTAATGTGCTGAGAACTGGACCTGGTATTTGATACAAGCAATAGGAATGTTGGTCACTGTTGTTGAAAGTGAGGGTGGAGGGAAGGGAGAGAAACTGACCTTGGAGATCAGGAGGAGAAAGGAGGTGACCTTGGTTGGACCTGAACAGGTGAGGGCCCTTGGAGGGAAAAGCGCCAAGATTTTGTGGGGTTGGGTCTGACCCTCTGATTCCCTAATCCATTAGGGAAGGAAGATAGAATCTATGGGAAGACACTTTAGGGAGAAGAGCAGGGAAGGAGGGGGTCGGGAAGAGGATGGGCCAGGTTTGAGAGGAGGGAGAATAGATAGGAAAAGGAGTCCTCAAAGCAGGTGATTATGGAAGGGTTCCTGGAGCAGGCTGGGGGTGGGGTAGCCTCCTGCCTTTAGGCGGTTCTTTGTCACTTTTTTTGGAACAATCAGATCCTGCCTGGCCGATCCCAGTCCTTCTTAGTCCATTGGCTGGGCCTGTGGGGAGGAGGTGGGCAGGACTAGGGCAGAAAGTAGGTAAAGGTCATTTGAGGCTGATTAAATGTTTCCTTCCTGGTTCCCTCTCCCTATTACTTTTCCCTCTTGACTCCCCTCTTTTTGGTGGGTGATGGGATAGGGGTTTTGGAGGGGTCTTTCAGATATCTACCTTTTATTATATTTTATTTTAAATTTATATATTAAACAAAAATTTTTTAAAGATTTTATTTATTCATAGAAACCCAGAGAGAGAATGAGAGGCAGAGACACAGGCAGAGGGAGAAGCAGGCTCCATGCAGAGAGCCTGACGTGGGACTTGATCCAGGATCTCCAGGATCATGCCCTGGGCTGCAGGCGGTGCTAAACCACTGCGCCACCGGGGCTGCCCTAAATTTATATATTTTTAGAGTCTTTGTTTTTTTTTTTCTTCCCCACTTTTATTTTTCCCACTTATTTTTTTATAAAGATTTTATTTATTTATTCATGAGAGACACAGGCAGAGGGAGAAGCAGGCTCCATGCAGGGAACCCGATGTGGGACTCGATCTCCGGGATCATGCCCTGAGCCAAAGGCTCAACTGCTGAGCCACCCAGGCGTCCCCCCACTTACTTTTTAAAAAGATTTTATTTATTTATTTATTTATTTATTTATTTATTTACTTATTTATTTATTATTATTTGAGAGAGTGAGAGCACAGGTGGGGGTGAGGGGCAGAGGAAGAAGCAGGCTCCCTGCTGAGCAGCAAGCTAGAGGTGATGTGGGACTGGATCCCAGGACTCTGGGATTATGACTTGAGCCGAAGGCAAAATGCTCAACGGACTGAGCCACCCAGGCACCGTAAAATGTTATTTATTTAGTCAGTAAGTAATCTGTACACCCAACATGGGGCTTGAACTCACAACCCTGAGATCTAGAGTCTTATGCTCTACCAACAGAGCCATCCAGGCACCCCTCTCCTACTTCTTTTTTCTAAGATTAAAAAAGACTTTTGAGTGAAGGGAAGGAGTAATGGCATTTAGTCAAAGAAGATTTTAAATAAGTATTTTAAATTTTTATTTATTTACTTGAGAGAGAATGAGAGAACACACGTGCACATGAGTGGGGTTGAGGGCAGAGGAAGAGGGAGAAGCAGACTTCCCACTGAGCAGGGAGCCTGATTTGGGTCTCCATTCCAGGACCCCGGGATTATGACTTGAGCCCAAGGCAGGGGGTCAACCACTGAGCCACCCAAGCATCCCTAATCAATTTAGGGGTTGATTATGGACCAGGATCTATCCACTGGAACATTTTGTGACGATGATGAAGTTTTGGATCTGTGCTGTCCAGTACAGTAGCCACTTAACTACACATGGCGACTGAGCTCTCAGAATGTGATTAATATGGCCCAGGAACTGACATTTTCATTTTTTTTAAAATTTTAATGAGTTTAAATAGCCACAAGTAGCTGGTGGCTGCCATATTGGATGGTGCAGTTTCAGGCCATCAAGGCTGAGCCCAGAGATAGTGCTTTGGAGGAAGGTTGAGAGACTGTGTTGTAGCTGACGGATGGGTTGTTGGTGCAGGGGGGTTGGGAGAAAGGCTGGGGCTGTCTGACTTCATCTCTGCCTGCTTACCTCTCCCCATTCATTGCTTTCTTGACTAAACACCCTGTAGCTCAGGGAGGCATTTGCCTGGTCCTTCTTCCCTCCTTCCCCCTCCAGTTGATAGCAGATGTTTTAGTGCTCAGGGAGAAGAGGAGAAAGGAAACTTAATTGTCAAGGAGTCCTGAGTCTCTGAGCCACCACCCCAGAAAGCAAGAGGGACCCCAGCCATGTCACTTCACTTCTTTGAGCTTAGCAGGGGGGATGACTGGAGTCCCTCCTCTGGGAGGGAGGGAACACCTAGAGTTCAGTCTGTGTGGATCATCAGTGATGATGTTTCTTCGACCCAGCTGTCGGGGGCAGCCTGTTGGGGACCCAGTGCTCTAGCGCCCTGTGCATTATCTCCAAGTGGTGGTGCCCAGTGTGTGCTGAGGCACGAATGGAGATGGTTATTACCAGTTCCTAACCATATGGGTCCATCTCCCTCTTGACTGGTGTCTGAAGGAACTAGCCTGCGTTTTTCACATCAGGAAATGCTTTATGGTTTACACTGCCATTGCACACCATTATTCTATCTAATACAGCCACACTGCAAGGTGTTTTCTCCTATGATGAGTGGGGAAACCAAGGCCCAGAGAGGTGAGGTCTGAACTTGGAGTTCTGGACTCCAAAGCCCAGTTTCTCCATAGTACCAGGCTGCCAGGAGAAGCCATAGGGCTTTGGTTCAAGTCTTACAACATGCTGCTGAGTCTGGCCTTGGCATGTATGAGCAACTTCTGCCTGGGGCCTTCTGGGCTGGAGAAGCTGGGGTGGAGGGGCCAGCCTCAGTCCTCACTGTGCCCTTCCCTCCCTGAGCTTTAGCCACTGGTCCTTTTTCCTTCCCTTGGATAAGCTCCGTCCACCTGGAGGCCTTTGTAGGAATATGGTCCTTTAAGTGTCGGCTGAGGGCCACTTCCTTAGAGAAGCATTCCTGACCCCTTCCCCCCTACCCCATCCCCCAATGTCCATCTGTAAAATGGGGACAGCAGTAGTGCCACCCTCAGAGGTGTAAAGATGAAGGGAAATGGTCCTTAGGAGGCACTTCCCATGTATTCCAAGCATTCAGTAAGGTCTCAAAAGTGGGGGGGCTGCAGTTCTTCTCCAGGGACAGTAAATCTGGTGTGGTCAGAGAAAGGATGTCCTCCCTCGGGGCTTTCCACTAGCAGTGCCCCAGGCGGCGTAGTGCTGTGAAAGCCCCTGGGTCTGAGTGACCTTAGCTATCTTAGATGCAGAGGACTCAGTTCGCTGGCACATCCACAAAACTGTCCACGACCGGACCCCACCTTTCTCTCCAGGCTCCTAAGGCAGCTGTAGTCAGGCTGCCTGGCTTCATAGGCTGACATCATTCGTGATCTCCCTGCCCTTGAACGAGTCACTTTACCTCTCTGAGACTGGGGCCATCTCTGTTCTACAGAAGTGAG